TAATACCAATAGATATCATGCCTATATGCAGAAGTTCTTTGGAGTCCTCAATAATTTCTAAGAGTGAAAGAGTCCTGAGACCAAAACCTTTCAGCACCACCATCTTAATGGAACAGTGGGAGGAAGCAGAGGTTTCTTCTGTCTCTGCCGATGGGCAATGGAATTCAGTCTTCTGTGGACCGCGAGGAAGGCTGTGGGTGGAGGGCAACCTGAGATTTGAGAAGAGGCCAGAAAGTCCGAGACGGTTGTTATGGGAAACCAGGAGGGTGCTGGAAATACAGTGTGATGGTGTCCTCAGGCTCCTCTTAGGTGCTTCCTTTTGGACACTCTTTCTGAGGCCCATGACATGTGTGCAGGGGCTTTCTTGCCTGAAGGGCTGTTTCCAGATGACCCAAGGCTCCTGGCCCTTGCTGTTGTCACAAACCCAGAGGCACGCTGAGACTCAAGCAGAGATGGGCAGGGCATCAGTCTTTTTGAGTCTAGTCATCTTAGTGGGCATGAAGTGGTAACTATAGTCATTTTAATTTGCATTTCCTTCATGGCTAATGATGTTGAGCATATTTTCATGCATTTATTTTCCATTCGTATATCTTCTTCAGAGAAAGATCTATTAAGAACCTTTGTCCACCTTTCTTTTTTTTTTTAAGATTTTATTTATTTATTGAGAGAGAGCACAAGCAGGGGGAGTGGCAGAGGGAGAAGCAGGCTTCCCGCTGAGTGGGGAGCCCAACACAGAGCTCGATCCTAGGACCCTGAGATCATGATCCGAGCCAAAGGCAGATGCTTAACTGACTGAGCCACACAAGTGCCCCTGTCCACTTTTTAATTGGGTTATTTGTCTTGTTATTTTTGAGTTGTAAGTTTCCTTTATATATTCTAAATAAAAGTCCCTTATCAGATAGGTGACTTGCAAAAATTTTTCATCATTCTGTGGGTTGTCTTTTCACTTCCCTAATGGTGCCTTTTGCAGCATAAAGTTTTTAATTGTGATGAAGTCTAATTTACCAATTTTTTTTTCTTTTATGTCTTGTGGTTTTGGTGTCAGGTCTAAGAAATCATTGCCTATTCCAAATTCACAAAGATTTATGCTTATGTTTCCTTCTAACAGCTTTGGAGTTTTAGCTCTTACATTTAAGTCTTTGACCTATTTTGAGTAAATTTTGTCTGTGATTTAGGTAGGGGTTCAACTTCATTCTTATTCATGCGGATATCCAGTTGTCCCAGCATCATTGGTTAAAAAGACCATTCTGTCCACTTTGCATTTTCTTGGCAACCTTGTTGAAAATCAATTTCCCTTGAATGTATGGATTTATTCCTAGACCGTCAGATCTAGTCCATTGGTCTATATGTCTATCCTTATGCCAGTACCACATTGTTCTTTATGAATATACAGGTATAGCATGTTTTGTAATTGAAAAATGTGAATCCTCCAACTCTGTTCTTTTTCAAGATTGTTTCTAAAAAAAAAAAAAAGATTGTTTCTATATCCTTTGAATTTCCATAAGAATTTTAGGATCAGTTTGTCATTTTCTATAAAGAAGCCAGCTGAGATTTTGATGGAGATTGCACTGAATCTGTAAATCAATGTGGGGGGTATTTCCATCTCAAAAATATTATGTCTTCCAAACCATGAAAAGGAGATGACTTTCTATTTATTTAGGTCTTTAATTTTTTAAATAATGTTTTATAGTTTTCAGAGTACAAGTTCTTTACTTATTTTATTAAAATTTCCCCTCATTATTTTGCTCTTTTTGATGCTATTATAAATTTTAATTTCATTTTCAGATTGTTTATTGCTAGGGTATAGAAATACAATTGATTTTTGTATGTTGATCTTACAGCCTTTGACCTTGCTGAACTCATTTATTAACTTTAATAGATTCATTATGCATTCTTTAGATTTTCTATATTACAAAATCATGTCATCTGGAATTAATAGTTTTACTAATTCCTTTCCAATCTGAATGCCTTTGTTTTTCTTGTCCTACTATGATGGCTAGAACCTCTAGTAGAATGTTGAATGGCAGTAGTGAAAGCAGACATCCTTGCCTGTTCCTCATCCTCGGGGAAACATTCAGTAGGATGTTGGCCGTGGGGCTCCAGAAATGCCCTTTGTCAGGTTGAGAATTTTGTATTCCTAGTTCGTGGAGTATTTTGATTGTGAAGAGATGTTGAATTTTGTGCGATACTTTTTACTGCATCTACTGAGATAACAGAAATCATTTTGCCTTTGTGCAAACCTTGTTCTGGACCTGTCAAGTGACCCTTTTTAGTTAATAAGATGTGAAGCAAGTACACGGCATTATCTCCAGGAGAGCATGTAACAGGCTCCTTGGGGGATTAGCCATGATCCTGGATTTGGTCTGTGAAGTTCTCCCGGGCATCTGTTTGTTTTTAAATATTTTATTTATTTATTTGAGGGAGAGAGAGAGAGAACATGGAGGGGGGCTGTAAGGGGCAGAGGGAGAAGAAGAAGCAGGCTCCCCACTGAGCAGGGAGCCTGACAAGGGGCTTGATCCCAGGACCCTGGGACCTGAGCCAAAGGCAGAGGCTTAACCGGCTGAGCCACCCAGGCGCCCCTGCCATGCATCTATTTGAATTCCCAAAATTCAATCAGTATCAAGGACTCTTCTGGACCGGAAGAGGTACAGATGTCACCTCTTAATGAGATATGTCGGATTTGTAAGGCATCTTTTATGGGAATATCTGCCCAACAAAAAGGTGCAATTCAGCTCTCAAGGGCACCTCTGAGTTCTGCCCTGGAAGCAAGCACAGGATTATTTCACTGACCTGAGAGCAGAAATGCTGGGTATCTTTCCTTTGCCCCAGCAGATAACTCTCCACCTTTCTCTTCCCTGCTCTGTGCCTGGGAGATGGGTATGAATGAGCCAACTCAACAGACTCCCTAACTCTGCCTTCCAGTTAGGTTTGGACAGTGGGGTTTTGTCACTAGCAGAAGATCAGAAGGCAAGAGAAAGGGAGGTCATTTATTCTCCTGGTTTCCTCCTTTGGGCCAACAAGGGGCATCTGTCTTTCTCTTCCTAAGGCTATTTTTCCTGTCAGTTACTGGAAACGATACTGCCCCTTGATGCTTTAACTGACCCTACCTGCATCTCTGTAAACAGTCCCTTTGTTAAACCCTTTTCAAACAACCTAACTTGAGTGTGCTGCTTCCTGCTACCACCCTGACTAGTAAAGCAAATTTGAGGTTCTTGAACATATCTTGAGAGGGAAATCTGGGGAGAAAAACCATACTTTCTGCTACTCATTCTGTTTTGAACTTTGAAAGAAATGTGAACTTATTTATTTATTTATTTATTTTTAAGATTTTATTTATTTATTTGACAGAGAGAG